TTTGTCTGTTAGCTATTTGTAGTTGAGACCCCATATACTTGGCTAAACCATGCTGAATTTTCATCCGTCACGTAATGGATATCCTCAGACCGAAGCCTCATTCGGGGCTCGACTTCACAAGACCTCTCGGTCTAGAAAATTTGCCTACCAGCAGTTTTCTTGAATATTTGCCAACGCCTAAAGTGCTTTGCTTTGGTGGATGTTTATTCAACTCTTATGAGTGTTAACTTGTTCAACGTATGCTACTACTTTTTAGCACGTATGTCTATGTGTGTATGTCCACAGCTGGGTATAGATTCGCTAACTCGGACTTCAGTTCATAGTGAAGAGGCATAATCACGCTAAAGACTTTCACTTGGCCTTGTTCCTATGTTAAATACATCATTGTGAAGAATCAGCCATTCACCATCTCATCCGACCGAGTGTGACTCCATCTATTCTTTAAGTTCTACTGATAGCCTCGAGACCTCTTAATTATGCATATTATCTGAGACCTAATAGACGGGTTTTTACGTGAGGTCGTGAATTTGGCCACGTTAAATTCATCTGTTGGAATATTGAGATTGAAATGGAAGCTGTAGTCATAGCTAAACCGAAAGCCTTTATTAATTTGCGCATCCTCAACTTTTCTATTAGGCCTCTCGGTTTAAGGTTTCCTCCAATATAATGGCTGCCTTGTGAAATTAGTTATTTTTAGTAGTTTAACTTGGTTAATGGATTAAATCCTTCTCTAAATATAGTAAAGTAAACGCAGGAGATGGATTATTAAGCTTCTTGTGACTTTTTAAATATTCGGTAACTCAATCGAGTCCATTGTCTGCATGATCATTTCCAGATCTTCTGAATGTCATGGTCATCTGTTTGCTACATGTACCACGTCTCTGGTACAACAGACCTACGATCATTCAACTAGCTCCGGTCCCAGCCGTTTCTATTCTGTTTCTATCTCTAATAGCAAGTCTGATTTGCTATGTACTAGTCTCTTGTTTACCAACCGAAAAATGATGTGGTACAGCTTGTTTTGATTTGGTTTAATGTTGAACCAACGTGAATAACCCAGGGCATAAGGGGAGATACCACAATTGTTTAGCACACGTTTGGTCGAAGGATTGGCTTCACTTGTCTCTTTGACGAGTTGTTGTGTGGTGCTAAGAATGGCGATACTCACTGACGATGCCGGCGAAACGTTTGGGAATGTACCACGTCCACGTTTCAGCTTTGGAAATGATCATTCAGACGATGGACTCCGGACTAGGTGGAAGAATTTATCGTGACTTACAACCGCCTGACATTATTAAGTTCGCAACCTCAAGGTTCCATATGCCGATATCATAATTATAATATTTATTAATTTCACATTTCTTTTGTGATCTAAAGTTGATGGGCCGTTATTTTTTCTAATTAGCTTATGAGCCTGCTGTTGCACTTTATCAAGTTAAGCGAAAATACAGATGGATCTATTGTGGTCTTAATAAACTGTGATATAGTAGATCTTAATCTTTGAACTTACTTCCAATTCTTCGAGAGACTAGAGCTCTTAGTCACTGTGGTATGGTAGATCTGAATTTCTGAACTTCCAATTCCTTGAATGACTATAACTCTTAGTCACTGTGGTATCGTAGATCTTAATTGTAGAACTTACTTCCATTTCTTAGACTGACTAGATCTCTTTGTCACTGTGGTATACTAGATCTTAATTGTTGAATTTACTTCCATTTCTTGGAGTAACTAGAGCTCTTAGTCACTTTGGTATGGTAGATCTGAATTTCTGAACTTTCAATTCCTTCAGTGACTAGAGCTCTTACTCACTGTGGTATCGTAGATCTTAATTGTTGAACTTACTTCCATTTCTTGGACTGACTAGATCTCTTAGTCACTCTGGTATGGTAGATCTTAATTGTTGAACTTCTATTTCGTGGAGTCAGTTGAGCTCTGAGTCACTGTGATATGCGAGATCTTATTTGTTGAACTTAGTTTTATTTCTTGGACTCAGTAGAGCCCAGTCAAGAAATCAGCATTTAGGGACAACTCAGTGAGTTTTCTTGACACGTTAGCTTGAATTTGGCTGTGACGATGATACCTCGCTCTGATGATGTCCGTCATATGACGGACCTTAGCACCTTTGCACCGGAATCGAAGAAGATTGCCTCGGAAACAGAGTCAGCAAGAATGTTCCAGTAAAGCCAATTGACAGCTGATCAAGAGTAATATGCCGTCGTCTTCTGATGAAACCGACCTTCGAATCTCTTCACCTAATACTTCTACTCGAAATGAAAGTGAGCTCAACAATTATGAAACAAGAGACTCCTCGAAACCCAACTTTTCTTCGTACTATTATTAACCCTATTTCGTTTAAGCTGATGGAGGACTGGTAGTTGAATTTTTCCGCATCCTATGAATAGGCCTTACGTTTGCATTTCACATGGCCTTGCTTCTCAGAAGATATTCTCATCTCGGATGACTGGTTGGTTCGATCTCACCTGAACTAAGTTCTACTGCAGCCCCAGCGAGACTCGGACCTTGGTGGTGAAATGCATAATATTTACCCGTCAACCACTACGCCTGACTACCACGAATGCCCTTGGGTCACCAGATAATTGTAAATTTCATGGCCATTTTCCATATCACACTGTGCTGGGATTGCCTAAGAAACATAGTTGTATTTGCCATGGCAATCGATTAAATTACTTATTTCTCGTTTGATAAGCATGCTTTTCTTGTTAAAACAAATCATAACAAAATGGAAAAACTCATGCCACTTATTCAAAAGGTGTAATTCTTTTCATGTACCCATCGAAATTGAGGTTGCTCTGATTAATTAAGCATTCTGGTAAGAAATAAAAGTATGATTCATACTATATCTAAAGTATCTAATATTATCTCGAAACCCTACTCTTATACGAATATAATATTATCTCATTTTCAGCATTAACAAGGCTGGATGAGCATTTTTTCTTCCATCGGCATGATGAGGATCTTTTCACCTCGGGAATATATGTAAACTTTACACTCGACGAGAGTATACCATTTAACCCAACTCTATCGGGACTATTGAAGTCCAATGGTAGATAAAAGAGAAAATGGATTGTAGATGGAAGTGAGGATCCATTTTAGGCTTGCTATCGCACCTTTTATTTCGTTTATCGTTGGATTGAAGAGATTCGCAAACTGGCTTGAGCGTAAACCAAAGGAAAATAGCTGTGAAGTTGCGACGATTGATCTTTACTTTATAGCCTTTTTTTGCATTATCTTGACTCTTCAATGAATCCGTGCTGAGCTTTTTTATACCGCTTTAGCTGACATCATCAAAGTTAGCAATTATTCCCAATAAAATGTATCGAATCTTAATCCAAGTCTTATTGTCATTCTTAACTTTGCATACGCAACAAAAGGTTCAGTAATGTTCAATTATTTAGAGTTTCGTCGAAATTATCTTTTCTCCATTTTAGATGGTCGGTGAGGTTTAGGCTAATCTGGTTCGGCGGCCTCTAAAATTGGCTAAAAAAGTACCACTTACATATTCACATTAGTCATCGTTGACCATCGGCCATGCAAGTGAAACTCTTTGTAAAGTAAGCTTTAGAGCAGATATCTTATGACGTACCATCCAGGCAAAGTCTCCTCTTTACTCTCAGAAAAAGTCACGCAATGAGCATAAAAATAGTTCGCATCCAGAACATGAGATCTCTACAGACCGAAACCAAAAAATGTGTGTACCAAATTGTTTATAGTACACAAGCTTATCGCTATTTCTACTTACATATTTGCATATACATTCGCACATTTCTTTCTTTTTATCTGTTTCATCTTTCAAGATGCTCGGAGTTATTCGCAATTTCGGCAAGCTGGTAATCGTTCTCATCTTCTTGGCCGCCAGACAATTGGTGCGCTGCCCGGACTATCGCGAAATGGTCCTTCGTCTGCAGCCGAGCTTTTGGCCTCTGCGGCTTTTGCCGTTGCCACCTCGGGCGGCACTGTTGCTGGCCGACTGTGTTGGCGACAAGGACAGGCACCGGGAACATTTTCGAATCTACCGGGTAAATGTTACACTTTGGCCATCTTAAACCCCATTTTCTTTACTCATTTGCTCATTTTTCTTCTAATAGAGGCAAAATTGTATTATAATTCGCCTCTTATGTTGAAGAGCTGAGGAAAAAAATAAACATTTTATTCACGTGCATTACCGTTTTGCTCTGCTCATGTGTAACCCCTCTTCTGCAACCACCTTTATATTTACGAAGAAAATTTGGGTTTTGAGGAACCTCTTGTTTCATAATTGTTGAGCTAACTTCCATTTCGAGTGGAAGTGTTGGGTGAAGAGATTCGAAGGTCGGTTCCACCGGAAGATGATGGCCGATTCCTCTTGACCAGCTGTCGATTGGTTTTACTGGAGCATTCATGCTGACGCTGTTTCCGAGGCAATCTCCTTCGATTCCGGTGAAAACGTGCTAGGCTTTCGTG